TTATATATTCAACTTAAAGTCATATACATTTTTATAATAATGAAAAATTCATATAATAAATCACCTACATAAACAATAGATAAATGACATACACTATATTTTATAAATAATAGATAAGAAGGTGTGCATATAATATACATTTAAGTATTTTGTATATGATGTAATTATTATGTTGAATAAATCTATACATTTAACTGATGACATTAAAACTATTATTACATTCTCTTCGAAATATAAATTTGTAATATTATTTTAGATAACTCAATTTAATGTAGTGAAAAATAGAAATATATAATAGCAGACAATCAAGGCAACATAGCTTGTGTTCGTAATAAAACGCATAAAAAGAAAAAATCCTTAAATTAAATTTACATTTTGATCTTCGATTTAATCGATTTCCAATTTTCTAAATGAACCATCCATATTTTCTAAAGTGATATTTGACTTTTTCAGACGTTTGCTTTCATTAACTTTTAGTTTATTATGACGTAAGACCCAATCGAAGTTCTTGAGAACTTCATTTTTCCATTCATCTGAAATTTAACGTCAAGTATTTGTAAATTACAATATTGATGTTATATTGGTATTTTTATGATTTTGATATGAATATCATAAAATAAAAATACATATTAATTTTAATAATAGTTTTAATATTATACCAACCCATTAATTCTACAGATGTCTTTGGAAAAGTACCTCCGTAATTAATTGGAAGAATTTCAGGATCGATATAATCTTTTAATTTATCAATATTTTCGTGAATATATAACTTAAAAAAAAATTATATTAATTTTCAGAAAATTTATTACGCTGAAACTACTATACTATGAAAGTTAAAAAATTGTATGCAATTAAAAATTGTATGGTATTATTTTGTATAAGAAACTGTATTCTGTCTTTTATTGTTCGTAACAATTGACTTTTTATATTTCTTTTTGAACAATCTGTATTTTACCGATTATATCAAGGGATTAATAGAACGAAGGTCTAGTCTTATTGGACAATAAATAGTTAAAATAAAACAATAAATAAGACTAACTACTAAATGATAGAACATTTTTTGAAAACTAATTTTATTACCACATTTTATCACCTACTGACTTCCTCAATATATTCAGAAAACATTTTTTTTGTTAGAAACATATCTCTAATACTTTTTCTGAATTTTACACTCTTCTAAATACTTAAATAAAAAACTGAAAAGACTCTTCAGTAATTTTTTGTGATTTTTGAGTTAAATATTATTAATATTTTTTAGTTTTTGAATTAATAATATTTTTAATTGTAGTTGTAATTTTATTTAACTCTCAGTTCTTTATCAAAATTTATTTTAGTTGTCGCAATATTAACTAATCTTAAAACCATACTATTAAAAAGTGCCATTTTGTGTTGCCAGCTGTGGTTCTAATTGTTCAAAATGTACCGGAAGGTGTACTATAACGAAGATTAGACTTGAAGTTCTAAGCGTTTAGTGTAGTCATCATATTATTAATATTCAGTCCATTTTTAGAAACTCTCGAAAAATTAAGTTTCAAAGTTCGCGAAGGCAATTATTATCTTTTTCTCTAAAATTGTGTATATTAAATGCATAAATCAAATATTAATGAATAATATAAACGGTTGTGTAGTGGTGTATTTACAAAGGGGACAACCTGGGACGTCTGCGACAGTTCACAACGAAAAGGGCACCCCTAAGGGACATCAAAGTCAATGAACTCAATGAAACTATTCTTAAATTTTTATTATGCAATATTTTGTAGATTTTTTTTTATTTTACGTAAAGATATACAGAGTGATCGAAATCTGGTAAGATTTCACTAATCTGGTAAAACACTTAAATTCTCAGAAACTATTGAGAATTTAAAATTTTTATAAAAAAAAAATTATTAAGTTTATAAAACTCTACAATAATATAAAGTTAAATAAATTTTTTTTTATCCCTTCAAGGATAAAAATGTTTATTTATAATTTTTTTAATGGGAACTACTATTTTCGATTTGAAAATTTGATAGAAAAAAAAATTACAAACAATTTTGTTCTTATAATTTTTTTTATCCGATCAACCGTTTACGTTCTATAATTGTTTAAAGATTTTAACCTCCAGAAAAAATATTGTCATTTATTTTATTCATATATATTGTAAACTTGATATTTTTTTTCTATAATAAAATTTAAAATTCTCAATAATTTCTGAGAAAATGAGTGTCTTCCAGATTTCAATCACCTGTACAGAGTGATTCTTTTATCATAACATACTTACCCAAAATTGTAACATACTTGTATCTTATTTCAACAATGTTAATTATATATTTATTGGCACTGTACTTGAGCCCACGTTAACACGTAAACGCCCAGTTTACACCAAATAAATAAATAATCCACTCAATTACCTACAAAATAAATATAATTCAAACATTTTTTTTTTGGTTATCTCAAGTTACATATTATTCTGGAATTATTAACTATGTAATAATTTTTAAGTTTCTCCCTTATACTTTGCAAGGGTGTTAACTTAGTTTTTTTAACGGGAACGCATATTTTGAATTTAATAAAATGTTTGAGTTTTTAATTTAATAGTAAATGGCATTTGAATTTTTAATATAATTTTATTAGTTTATTAGATATAAGCATTAAAGCTTAAAATTTTTGAGTTAATATACATGTATAATACACAAGGGATTAAAAATACAAGTAGTTAATTGGTTTTTTATGACATCACTGTTACAAACACGTAGATACTTAAATTGTTGAACCTGTTCAATTAAATTATTATCTATTTCCAACCTCACTAAAGGAATTTCTTTTGCTTTAGTCACCACCATTTATATAAACATATAAAGTTTCAAATTTTAGTTAATATAAATTTATAGTACACAAGGGATTACAAATACAAGTAGTTAATTAGTACACCTATTGATAGTAGAGTCGGCTCGTAGCTTTGACGACGGGACGATCGCATGCCTACTAAAATTAATTAAAAGAAGAGAATTAATGGCATATTCTTAATTCTACATTATTATTAAAAATACAAATTTTTAAATAGTAAAATAGTTATAATACATATGTCGTGTGTGAACATTAAATTTTTTTCGCTTAGAATATGCGGTTACGCATACACACACGAGCAGTGTTTGGACAGCCGTTAGCATCGTCCATGCGGTAATATATTAGTATAATACTATGTTGAGTAATTTATTTTAAAAATTATTATGTGACGTTTGTCGTTATCGGTTGCCATAATAGTATAATCGCTATTATTATTATTTTCATTTCTATTTTCTACTGCGACCTTGAAAATAATAATATCTGTATTGTGTTTTATTTTATTATACTTAATTTGACAAAATTTAATAAAAAAAGACTAGCGGTAGTTTATCTAAAGTCACACCTCCACCACCAGCACCCTCAAAACCCCATTAATTTATAGTTATAATTGACAATAAACACTGCGTGTCTGCGACAGCGACGTCAAAAAAACTAATTAGCTATTTATATTTGTAATCCCTTGTGTATTATGCATGTATATTACCTCAACAATTTGAAAATATAAATGTTTATATTTAATAAATTAATAAGGTCATATTAAAAATTCAAAAGCCATTTACTATTAAAATAAAAACTCAAACATTTTATTGACTTCAATATATGTTTTCTCATTTAAATAAATCAATCTGACACTCTTACAAGGCATAAGGGATTAACTTGAAAAGTATCATATAGTTAATAATTCTAGAAAAATGTGTAACTAAAAATAACCAAAAATAAAATGTTTAAATAATATTTATTTTATAAGTACACTGTATAAATTTACGTCAAATATAAAAAAATCTGCAAATATTTCGATTTTGAAAAATCTACAACATTTTGTGTATTATATATTTTTTAAGTTAACTGATGGATTTATTAGTAAAATTTTAAGTGCTATAAAACATATTAATAATAAAATTTACAGTTTACAATCTATTTATTTATTTTTATAGAGTGCTGTAATAAGAGTTATAGGCAAATAACCAAAGAACTATTCTAATTAGTCAATATTCAGACAATGCCAATTGATCTGAATTTTTTTTTGTTCATTTTAAAAAAGACATATGATCAATTTTGAGGGGTGATTTTCAGAATAAAAAAATATAAGGACCAAGCTATACACAATTTAAGGAAAAACAAATTACATTACGGCCATTATAAGCTCTGACCTTTAAAAAAAAATTTATCATTAGTAATGATAATAAACATATAATGTGATTATAATTAAATAATTTTTCAGCCTAGTCAAGCAGAAATATACTTTATATACTTACTCTTTGAGAAATTACTTTATTAAATTTAATCCGTAAAATATTGATAAATTTTCCAATAAAATTTGGAGCATTGAGAATATGAAGTTCGTGAATTCTTAATGGAAATGTATTCTATAAAATAATAATTTATTTTTAAGTTTTTGAATATTTGATTGATACAATACAAAGTACTACATTATTTTATTAACCTATATCAATATCGTATATTTAATAACTTCATTCATACATCTTTGATATTATACTATGATAAACTGCAAGAAAATTACCACAAAATTTCTATTTATCAGTGAAATAAAATAATGTGACAAATGATAGTATGATTGTATTCTTATGACTATTATTTATTAAGGTATACAGTGAAAAACAGATCTAACCAGCAACTGCTCTACATTTTATTATTAATTGTAATATAAATAAAAAAGTAATATGAATTATTCTTTCTTATTACTTTTAGACGAACTTAAAATATTCAATAATTGTTTCAAAAATATTTAATTATTTTAAAATTTAGAAATACCTATTTTTTAGCTCTTTTCTTACAAAACATTTTGTTGGATCGTGTATGAACGCAGCGCCCGGTGGTATTCACGCGGGTTCGTTAACGTTCGTTATTTTATTTTGTCTTAAGTCATTAGCTATGCCGGAATAAGGAATAAGGTGAGTGGACTGTATGTTTGAATGTAGATTGAATTTTACAACAATGTTGATCGGGGGACACATAATATTAATTCCACTAAGACGATGATATAAGCAAATAATAAATTATACAATTAAGTCTGAAACAGATAGATGAATAAGCATTATACTTATCGGCTAAATGAAACGACTGATGATAATGTTGAATATTGAAAGGATCAATTGAAATAGCTGACCAATGTGAACAATATGCTGTAAACGGTATTGTGATGTATCTCAGAAAATATATACCCAACGGCGATAAACTGAGCGCACAGTGTACGATAATCGCAAAGGTGATATTTTCTTTTTACAATAAAACGTATACAAAAAACTACTGGCTCGTAAAACGCCATAGAGCTTATAGCAGAAGAAGCGTTAAGATGGCGGCGACAATGCTGACATAGAGAGATGACCGACAACAGCTCGATGTAACACAACGATAATATGAATAATCAACAATACATTTTCTTGACAGCATATTCGACTGATGTGTATCCATCAGATCGATAAGTTATTTAAAACAAATAGTCATTGAGTCAGAAAAATTATAATTCATTGAGTGAGTGTGGAACACAATTGGGGTATAGATATATCATCGGTTCATTCTATTTGAAATCACGTAATGTAAGTGAATATTTAAATTTTTTTATATTTTGTATTATATTAATTGCAAAATTTAAAGGTTAAATCATTTTTTTTGAAAATTTCAGTTCTGTCTTTTAACCCATAATATATTTTTATTTATTTATAATTTATTTTTTTGGATCATTTTACGATCATGAATACGCATGGATTACTAAAAATAACTAACTTCATCATCTCATTACTCAAAAGCTACTGAGCAAATTTATTTCAAATTTACATACTACTTACATATGGCAATTAGGATGTTGGTGAAATTATATACTGCAAAATTAAAAAAATTAAAATCAAAATTTAGATGGTAAAAAAATTCAAAATTCATAAACTTAAAAAACCCATCACAAGGAGGTCGTGGAACAGTGATGACGTGGCATATTTGGATCAAGTATCGATGATATCTGACAGTGGTAAAAATTACTATTCTAAGAAACGCAGCGATGAAAATCTGTAAATAATGTTTAATATTAAGAAATTGATGGATTATTCCAAGAGTTACATGATCTGCTATTTCCTTATTTATATCTTGATTAAGATAAAGTATGCCGAATGAAAAAGAGATATAAAGATTATTTCTGATAAAAAAACTGTGTTTGTCCATACACTTTTCACTAAGTTATAGCATTATAAAGTTAAAAATGTAAAAAATAAAATCGAGAATTTTCACATAAAAATAGCATTCAGTATCCATTTTTACCGTGAAGACAAAATAAAGTCCAACATTTTTTTTTTAATATTTAAGTATA